GGGTCCCTGCCTTCCACACGTGGAGGGAGTGTGAGCACCGAGCCCCTGCCCCCCCCTTTTCCGGGCATTGCCTTGGCACCCAAGAGTTTTACACCACAGCCGAGAAATCGCAGGGCATTTGCTGGGGCTTCAAACCAAGGCAGGGAAACAGGAGCCAGGTGGAGGCCACAAGGCCAGGTGCCCTCTCCCTGTGGCCAGGTTCTCTGGAGTCTATGAGCACCCACTACCTTAGGGAGGGGGGGAAGTGGATTATCCAGGGGGCTCCTAACTCCCCTGAGCTGTGAGCCCCCCTCCCTGCCCCTAGCCATCGCAGGGCATTTGCTGGGGCTTCAAACCAAGGCAGGGAAACAGGAGCCAGGTGGAGGCCACAAGGCCAGGTGCCCTCTCCCTGTGGCCAGGTTCTCTGGAGTCTATGAGCACCCACTACCTTAGGGAGGGGGGGAAGTGGATTATCCAGGGGGCTCCTAACTCCCCTGAGCTGTGAGCCCCCCTCCCTGCCCCTAGCCCCGGGGGAAGGGAGCGCAGGGCCTTCGAGCTGGCACAGGGGATGCCCCAGGCCACAGACAAGCCCCCGCCCAGCAGCAAGGGAACAGCCCTTCCCCCAGAGCAGGGAGGGGCCTTGTGGCCACCTGTCCCGCAGGCCAGTGTCTCTGCCCCTTCTGCCTTGGCCTGCCCCCTTCCCAGTATGGCTTGGGACATCTGCCCAGTGCTGCCTCGGGGCCGGCGGAGAGCAGTGGGTGACATCTACGGGGTAGTCACCCGTCGTTTGGGGGGTGTACCCCCTGCCCTGGCAGCACTGACCACCATGGGCTTGGCAGGGAGAGGACAGCAGGCAGCACAAGTCAGAGTGGGCCTGAGAAGGCCCCTTCCCCTCCCAGACACACCAGTTCGGGCTCCCGATCGGCCATAGGCCTCCAAACGCCCAGGCCCGGCCCCCCTGGCCTCCCCAGAGCTAGCCGCATCTGGCAGGAGCCCGGGCCTCCCTCCTTCTGCAGGCAGGGCCTGCCACATTTGCCAATGGACTAGCCCTACCTCGCTCAAGTCCTGGACACAGCCACGCAGATACTACACAGACAGATACTGCACAGACAGGCAGATACAGTGCACAGACAGGCATACAGATATCCCACAGACAGGCAGATACACAGCACAAACAGACAGCCATATCCCACGGACAGGCAGATATACTGCATGGACAGGCAGACAGATATCCCACAGACAGACAGTATACAGCACGGACAGACAGCCATATCCCACGGACAGGCAGATACAGCAGGAACAGACAGATATGGCAGGGACAGACAAAGATAGCCCACAGACAGGCAGATACACTGCCCAGACAGAGAGATATCACAGAGGCAGCCAGATACACTGCACGGACAGCCAGATACAGCTCAGACAGACAGGTGCTGCACAGAGGCCCCCAACACCGCTTTAACTTCCCAAGCACCCTGGCTGCCGCCCTCCCAAGCGCTGTGCGTTGTAGGAAGGGGCTGGAACCCAACTGAAGGGTCACATTGGCCCAGATGCACCCAGCCTCGCTCACCCAAACAGGATTCCGGCGCGTTCACGCCAGCTCCCTATCCCCACACCCCAACAGATCCAGGCCCGCACAGCCTTACCCAGACAGACCCTGTGCGCCTCATACATGGAGCCCTTGTGTCTCCTCCTCCCGCATGAGACGGAGCCCCCGGAACCCGATCAGCTCGGAGCAGAGGTTTGTGGGTCAGGAGCCACTTAGCGAATGGCCCATTACATGCAAAACCCTCCAGAGCAGCCCCCATTCCGTCCGCTTGGGCAGGGTCCCAGTGACATGCCCCACGGAAGCAGGGTTAATAAATGCCCCCCCCCCCCAGG